CAATAAGGAAATTTTATAATATGATATAGCTCCATTTATTTCTTTTTATTCTGTTTTGTCAGTGTCACTGTATCATTGAAGACACCTTTGAGGTACAGGTCTTGGAGCATTCTGCCTATATTTTCCTCAATGTATAGATTCTGGTATTTTCTAAGTGAAACCATGCCCGTTGGTGCCAAGAAAGGATGGCTAAGGTGTTAGAAAGCTAAATGTAAGGATGTGATACCAGGATGTGGAAAGTTTGTCTTCCACATAGATAATGTTTAGACTGCCTAGGATGAAGACAAGACTTAGAATATAAGACTATTGAGCTGTTCTTTATTAGGGAAGTTGACAATAATGCTCACATAAGCTCACTTCTCTCACCCTCAACCCATTGGTCAATAATCAGCACTGTGAAGGAATGTATGGGAAGAAATTTAGATCAAGAGAAAACTTAGTTTTGGGGAAGGCCAGGAGGCAAAGGTAAAGCTCTGAAACAATCTGCTTTCCTGTTACCTGTTTTATTTGTTGCTTCTAAAATTAAGCGGAGAAAGCACAAGTCAACGATTCCTGTGACACATTTTACTATTTTCTCTACACAAAGTCTTATAATGGCAATCAGAAATCCTGTCCAAAATTAATTATTTCTCTGTATAATACAAATATGTGTAATATATATGCATCATTGAATAAGTTTCAAAAGTGTTTTTCTAAGCTAGCCCCTCTTCAAAAGTAAGTTTTCTCACCAAACCAACAACCGAAGGGCATATGGCCCTTCACTAAAGTTTAATCCAAATCTCTAATCTCAGAAAAGTTCTTTCCCAGTCAGGCCCTTTCCGGGACTATTCACAAAACAAGAGAGTTGGAATGAATAGTTAATACATTTTCCTCTGGCTTTGATATAGGCCGACCCAAAACACAACTGTTAGGGTATGTGCTGAGATGTCATAGTTAATATCTAACAAGTTTTCTACCTAGATAGATATTATATAAGGAATTAACATATTATCTTGCTTCTTAAAATATAAATTCCAACATTTCTGAAGATGCATGTGCATCTTTGTGTCAGAGGATGAATCCTAAAGGAGATGAGCCAATTTAATCAAGGCAAACATGCCAGATTGTCAGGCTGGTAGTTTTTCCTTTAACCAGGTTATAAATTAGTTAGACTATTTGGGCTCTCTATGTCTCATTTTTCTTAATCAATATAATTGAGGATAACTATAGCAAGTCTGTTGGAATTTCTGTGAATATTTTAAGGAAAGCAAACATTATTTTTCGTTTTGTGGACACACTCTGCAGTGCTCAGGGCTTACTCCTGGCTCTGATCTCAGGGTTAACTTCTGTTGTGCTGGGGACCATCTTGGGTGCCAAGGATCAAAGTTGTGTTAGCATGTGTAAAAGAAAAGAAACATCTGCAGTCCCTCTAGCTCCAAAATGAAAGTGTTTAGTAGCTAACAAAATGCCATACACTTTGGAAGAACTCAATGTGTGTTTATTATAATTATAATTATAATTCTTATTATAAAAATAATAACTACTGTGGGAGTGACCCAGAATTATGGGAGGTTTTGAGGGGTGGGTTCTGTCTGTAAAGTTCTATGCAAGGAAATATACTAGAGCAAAGTGTGCAAAGATAAATAAAAGAGACCATTATGTAATGGCCTATTCCTATTTAGTCTATTCGAATGGTCTATTCTATTCCTACAAGAGGAAATTTCCAAGCAGGTCACAATATCTTAGACATCAAAAAAATTAAAGTTCCCAGGGATGTAGAGATTGCGCAGTGGGTAGGGCATTTGCCTTACACATGATCGACCCAGGTTCTATCCCCAGCAGCTCATATGGTCCACCAAGCTTGCCAGGAGTGATCCCTGAGGAGCACATAGTAAGCCCTGAACACCCATACCTGTGGCCCAAAAACAAAGAAAAGGAAAAAAGTGATAAAAGAAAAAAGTCAAAAGTCCCATCAAACTAACAGAAATATGTTCTGTTACTACCCTTGGAAATCATATCTTCGCATGTTTCAAGGTTTATACTTTTCACCAATTCAGGCAAGATTTCTTAATTGAAAACTTCTAGTGATAGATCTCTATCCGTCCTCCCACCATTTCCCTTTAGCTGCTTTGCTGTTAATTTCATTGCTTAACCCTAATATTCATCCCTCACTAACTGGCTACTCGACTTAAACCGTACCATTCTATTTACTCAGTTATAGACATGACACTTTATTCCATTCCACTCCCTTATTCTATCTCACTCAACCCCTTTATTCTCCATCACCCTTCCCCTTTATTCCATGACACTTCTCCCATCTATCCCTAACCACATGATTCCCTACATTTCACATGCCTCCAACCCTCTATTCCCTATACTTCATTCCCCTTTATTCCATGAGTCCCCTCCCCTCTACTGCTTTTGGTGCTTTCCCCTTCAGTCCCCTCAGTCCTGCCCTTAATTCTCCATCATTGGTCTCCCTTTATTTCACAATTCCATATCACCTCTCACTTATTTCCCCATCAAATGTTCGCTTTTATTCTCACCACCATCACCCCCTTTATTCTTTCATATTTCCATTTATTTTCTTTCATGTGTTCCCCTCTATTCCACATCATTCGTCTATTGCATGCCCACCATGTGTTCCCTTTATTCTATGTCTCCTCTCAAACCCTCCCCTTTTTATTTTTACAATATTATGATAGTTGCTTTTAGGTATCTTGTTCTAGCACCAACCCCACCACCAGTGTCAACTTCCCTCCACCAAGGGTTCCCCAGTTTCCTCCCATGCCCCATCCCAGCCACCTCAATAGGCACATCATGAAGTTTGGTGGTTGCAGTTTGTATCTCATGTTTTCAGTGTTGTTGAGTCTGTGCTTTGAATATATAGCTAGTGGGTAGGGCATTTGCCTTGCACATGGCCAAACTGGGTTCGATTCTTCCTCCTCTTTCAAAGAGCCCGGCAAACTACCGGGAGTATCTCGCCCGCACAGCAGAGCCTGGCAAGCTACCCGTGGCGTATTCAATATGCCAAAAACAGTAACAACAAGTCTCACAATGGAGACATTACTGGTGCCCACTCGAGCAAATATGTGAACAATGGATGACAGTGCTACAGTGCTACCATTCCCCTGTCCTCTCCTGTTCATCAATTTGCTCAAGCTGGCCCAGTAATGTCTCCATTTTGAGACTTGTTGTTACTGTGTTTGGCATATTGAATATGTCACAGGTAGCTTGCCAGGCCTTGCCATGCAGGCGAGATACTTTTGGTAGCTTGCCGGGCTCTCCGAGAGGGGCGGAAGAGTACTGGGCTGGCTGCGTGCAAGGCAAACGCCCTACCGCTGTGCTATCGCTCCAGACCATATTAACAAATATACCTGAAGTCCCTGACCCTTATTCCCCCTTCGCTTCACTTTCTCATCTTCCTTGCTCCCTTGATTTCTTTCCTTCTCTGTCCCATTCCTCCCTATACAGTGGGGTCAAGGTCAACAATCACCTCTATTCCCCATAACATGTTCCCTTTAAATCCCCTCATTCTTGCTCTTGAGTCCGTATCATTCGTCTCCCTTACTCCACATCACCCTCCCTCATCACATGTCCCCCTTTATTCTGCATCATTCTTTCTCTTTATTTAATGTCACCCCCTTCTTTGAACCTCCCCCTCCCCCTTTTTCCCATTATGAGTTTCCTTTTACTCCATGGTGTCCTGTTCCTTTAACTCCACATCACCTTTCCCTTTATTTTCTATCACTTTCTCTTTATTTCCCAACACCCTATTTCATTTATTCCAGGTCAAGCTCCCCTTTGTACTCCTTCATTACCCATTTCCATTATTCTATATTCTCCATAACACTTTTCCAGAGGAGTCTCTCCTCTTTTATTGCAACTGATTCCTCCCCCTTTTTCCATTTCTCACCAGCCTTTCATCACTCTCCCCTTTATTCCAATCCATTCTTTTATATCTTGTCACTCCTCCCTTTACCCCACATCACCTTTACCCTTTCTTTTAACCATTCCCCCTTGAGCCCACTCAGAGCTACCCAACCCATCAATAAAAATTTTAAGTAAAAAAATAAACACGCACAGCAAACCATGAATATGCAGCTATCACAATACAGAGGTTTATTAATGATTACAAGCCAGAGAAGTTTTAAAAATCACAAATCTTTGAGCTCTGTAGATCTAACCCATTGTGTAATCAATTTCTATCCCTCAATACAATGCATTCCTCATCCTACAGACCATAACAGTTGTTACCCATCAATATCAGCCACAATTTTAGATGTCATTCACAGCCCATATCTGTATGTTATCAGAAAATGTCCTACAAATCTGTGCCATCCTGAAGGGAGGCGCTACCAATGATGATAGATAAGAACAATTGTAGTCAGATTATTTTGACTACTTGGAACTAGGTGTCCATACCTAGCTAGATGTTTTGCCGACAATGGGGTGTGCGTGCCAGCTCTCTGTAAAAGAGGTCCAGGTAATAAAAGTCAAATTGATCCTCTTAACTTTTGACTCTAAAAAAGTTAATTAGGTTTACAGTTATGCTTTCCCTGTACAAAATTTTGGGAGTGGCTGCTTGAGAGACCACTGGTCTAAATAATTTGGAAAAATATCCTGAGGTGACAGAGTTGCTGTGGGGACACAGCGATGAACACGTATGACATGGTTTAGCATTAATTGTCAGCTGTCAGGAGACTGACCTAACACCGTACTGTGCCTCTTGAGGGCCTTTCCAATTGAGCTCTCGGGAGGAAGTTAGAAAAACATGCAATCCCCTTTGAGGGAGGGAAAGCACCTAGAGATTTGTGAGCTTCTCTGGGACAAGTATTTACCACAAATGTTACATCAATTAAAGGAAGGGCTGTAGTGAGAGAAAGCCAGGATCAGGGATAAAAGAGAAAGGCAATGTAGCACCAGGGAGCCTGCAAATGACACAGAAACATCTCTGCTTTTACCAGCTGAACAGACCAAGCAACCAACCCCTGTGAAGGGGCTAGTATTCGTTTGGAATTCTCAACCTGACCCGAGCATCAGATGGAAGTCCTTTTCACCCTCATATGTTTACCATCAAGGTTTTCCTTAATGTTTTCTGTGACATCTCAGGTCTACTCCTGCCCTTTTTCCCTGTCCGGCACCATCTAGAAGGAAAACATCTAAGCAAACAAGGAACCGATGCCAGTTTTGGCCTCCTTCTCCGGGGGCATACGGAGCAATGGGCGCTCTTGCTCCAGAATGAGGGGTTTACCCGCTCCTTCCTCATCGTCATGGGAATAGGCAGTGCCGGGAGGCACAGCGGGCTCCTCAGAGGAACCTGGAAAATAGTAACAATGTTAACTCCTTGTGTTTTTAGATTTCACAATTTGCACAGCACCTAAAGGACTAAGACCTAAATTTGAACTTCGAACACTGCATAAGTCAAGAAGATAGTCCCATTTGACAGGTTAGAAAAGCAAATTCTAACAGTAGAACATAAAGGTGCAAGTCCAGGCCCACTGTGTTAGCTAGGAGAGAAGTAGGTTAGAGAGCAGAAAGAGTGCTGACTGAGCTTAGAGCAAACGGACAATACCACGATCGAGGCAGGGAAGCGGCTGGCCTCCTAACAACCACCACCACCCTACTACTAACCTAACTAGTTTTACTAAGAAAATGAGTAACAAAGGTGGAGCCAGAATCTTACAGAATGTCATGAAGGGGAGAAAGCAGCTGCCACTCTTCAATGACTCTGGAAAGGACTTGTAGTCCATGACTTGACCAGGCTGAGACTTGTTTTTAAGGAGGGTGGTATCTACCGGAAACATAACATCTGTATCTTCTTTATAGAACTGGATTGATTTTGGACTCTGAACTTCTTTAGGATCAACATCATCAGGCACTGGAACTGATTCCATATTCATGATTTCTTCAAGATTGATAGCCAAGTATGGCTGAAGGTCTGGAATTGTGTTGAGAATGGAGACATCTTCAGATTCTGGAGTCACATTGTTACCGGCATCTTCTTCAGAAACATTGGCTTGATCTTTCTGAGGATCTAGAACTTCACTGTGAATTTCAGCATCCTCAGGCTCTGAAACCACGTTGGATACTGAATATTCTTTATGGTTAGGATTTTCTTCAGAGCTGTGGACTTCACTGGCATCTGAGGTTTCTTCATCTGTTGAGGTGTCTTCATAATCTGAGACTTCTTCACTACTTGAGACCTCACTAACCTCAGAGGAATATTCCTGGTAATTAATATCATCAAAATCTAGAATAGCTTCAGGATTTGTTATCACAAGGAGAGCTGAAATCACTTCAGGGCTGGAGTCTTCTTCAGAGCTTGCAACTGCATTGACTATTGGCATTCCTTCGTGATTTGTATTTTCTGAAGCATCATTAGAGATTTCAGGAGTTGGGTCCTCATCAAAATTAGGATCTTCATCAGCATACAAAAGTCCATTAATTTCTGGGTATTCTTCATGATTCGGGGTATCGAGACCACTAGCAGGAATTCCTGGAATATCTTCAGATTCTGAACCATCATTGACCACGGGGGCTGCTGCATGGTCTGGAACTTCTTCAGCATTTGAAGTTTCGTCATTCAGGAGCTCATCATTTGGAACCTCATCATTTGGAATCTCGTCATTTAGGACCTCATCATTTGGAACATCATCAAGAGCTGGCACTTCTTCAAGATCAGGGTCCTCTTGATAATTTAGGTGTTCATCATCTGAGGCATCTACATGCTCCTCATTATCTGAACTTTCATTACCATTTTGGATGACATCAAGATAGGGAACTTCTGCAATATCAAGATTTTGATCATTTACAAAACCTGGCACTTCTTCAAGATTTTGGTCCTGGTGTTCGTCAGGATTTGGGATTTCTTGCAATTCTGGGATTTCTTCAGGTTCTGGGTCTGGAACCATATGAAAATATGGTACTTCTTCAAAACTTGGAGTTTCAACGAAATCTGGATTTTCAGCATCAGGCCCCATAATATCTTCAAGAGGAGGAAGATCATCAAAGTTCAGAATCTCATCATCATCATCATCAACATCTTCATCAAGCTCTGGTATGCCTTCAAGATGTGGAACTTGAATCTCAAAATCATTTGATATCTCAAGATTTTGGAATTCCTCAAAGACTACTCCTAGATTGAGATATTCAAATTCTTGCTCTTCATTGACTGGCACATCTTGAAAAAATTCATCTTCATCAAAGACCTGGCCTTCGGGAAGGGCCTGACCATCACCACAGGACTGACCATCACCAAGTGCCTGACCTCCAGCAGGAAACTGACCTTCATCGAAAGGAGTGCTTTGACCTAAGACAGCAGCCCGAATTTCAGCAGAGTTTTCCACAGGGTCAGAAAGTAAAGCATCTTCTTCCATCTTAATCTGAGCACTCCTGATTAAAAATAAATGAGAAAAGTAAGTTAATTTGTATACTTGTGTTAACTAATAGAAGGGTGATGTGTCTATGGAAGCTCTCATATACTAAGAGTAAATAAACCAAGAAAATACTCACTGAATTTTCCTCAGTTTCCTGCGTCTGATAAAATCAATGGCTTCAGGACTGGATTTCCACACACGCTTAGCAACCTGCCTCTGAATATGGGGAGGCACCTGCAGGAAAATTAACAAAGTTAACCTTTATCTAATAATATTTTAAATGTATGTTCATCTCTCTCAATTACCCAGGACTATGACTCTCTAATAAATGAGGGCAAGCTCTAGAGTGAGAGATTTTGTGACTACTTTGGTCACTCTCTAGGATGCATACAATTCAGCCATGTCTTATAAACTGAGATCTATGAAACAAATATGTCTGAACATCCTACCTACCTGGAACAGAACATCCCAGTTATCAATCATGGCACGGACCACATTGACAGAAGCAACATAGTGGTTAATCCCCAGTTTTGTCTTCCTTGACTCTCTCTTGCCAAATCTTCCCTTCTTTAGAAGAGCAGATCCAAACACCAACGCCAAATTAGTGGAAGTCATACGGTTGCCAAAAACCTAGAAAACATAAAGCAGAAATGAATTTAATTTGAGGCAACAATAGAAGTGGGCCAAATATAAATGTCTCCCTTAGAACCCCCCATCCTTTTCCCAAAGATACTCACCAGTTGCCCATCCATGCCAATCACATCCTCACAATGCTCAGTGACACTATGGAGTGCCTTTAAAAGGCGCTCAAGGGTGTCACTGTGGCATGGAGGCATGAGATAGACTAGCAACTGGAGGGCAGAAAGCTGATCTTGTGGCTTCAGAGCTGCAAAAACAAAAACAAAAACAAAAACTGTCTTTAATGAGCTTGCCATGGCAGCAGTCATATACCAAAAGAGATGCAGTTCTTTTTCAAATTGATTGGGAGTTTTGAAAAAAAGTATATGGGCAGCTTATATTTTCTCATATCATTGGAAATTAGGAAGTTATCCTATCAAAAAAGCAGACCCCCACCCTTTATAGAACCTGGGTTCTGTAGAGGATGTCAAGAGTTTCAAGTAGCTGTATAGAGATTCCCACAAAACAAATGTATAATGCTCAAAGGTAATAGTGTAATATTCAGAGAGATAAGGAAGCAATATGGTAAGGAGGGGGGGGTCATTTTTCACTATTTATTCTCTCCTACTTCTTGGGAGTTCCGTAGTTAGACTTCTGACCCTAATCCCATACATTCCCTGAATTTATCTCCTTGTTCCTTGCCATGTCTGACAAAGGGGAGAAGACTCACTGGCTGTCATGAGGAAGGACATGTGCAAATCATCTGGTATCAGAGAGTCTTTCATGTCACGAAAAAACTCTGTAAGGAGTGCTGCTACATCATGCACATTCTGAGTGTCATCCAGCACTACATCCAGACCTTGATCAAATTCTTCACGGAGCTAGAAAAACAGAGAGATCACATGTATTTTCTGCTGTTCTTACCACAGGGGTCCCTCTCCCCATTCTTTCAATAAGACTCAAGTTTCAGTGAAGTTATCTGGAAATATGCTGAGGCAGAATGGGTAAGAGTCTAGAAAGAAAATCTCAACCAACCTTGACACCCTCCTCAGGTCAACAGACCAATCTTCCCCTCCCCCTGCTTTTTCTCACCCAAAGAAGAAGTGTAGTTAAAGTTAACTCACCTCCTGCACTCTCTCCTCAGAGTACTCTTCTGTGAAAATTCCCACTGCTCTTAATCCTGAAGTTGAAAAGATAGGAGGGTGATAAGCAAATCCGTCTTCCATTCTCCTCACAAGTCCACCCTCCTCCCCCTCTACATCCTCATCCCAACTTCCAACTCCTGGGGATGGGGGAAGGGAATGTTGCCTGCCCTATATACTTCCACTTCCCTTTCCCATCCTTCTCCTCCCTCTTCCCCACTTCTGCTCTTACTTTTGATTTTCCCCCCACCCTGATTTGCCTTTGAAGTGCCTCCCATCATATTTTACCCCCTTACCATGTTTTTCAATGAAACTGCAGCAAACCTCCACAATCTGGGGGATTTGTTTTGCAATAGGATTGAGACTCATCTTCCTCTTGGACCCCAGCAGGCGTTGGCCAATTGGAAAGGAATTTTTTGAAAGTTGCAGGGTCTGCAGCAGCAGAGCCCCATCTTCCAACTCAGCCAAGCTATCCACAGATATAGCACCCTGTGAAGCAAACCAGACTATCTTACAAAGGGAGAACAAGAGGAGCCAAGGTCATCGCTTTTGTAACAGGAGACTTTCCCTCCCTGGAAAGCCCATTAACACCCCCCACCCTTACCCTAAACCTGTTCTTTCCTTCACCACTCCCCTGGCCTCCAGGCACAGACCATGACTCTCTCGCCCCACTTCAAGAAAGACCCACCCACCTTAAAAATGTGGGGGAAACAGAGCCATGGTATTGCAGGTAGTAACCTGGCAAGGCTGACCCAGGTTCCATTCCAGACACCCCACGTGGTCACACACACACAGTCACACACACAAACACACACACACACACCCACACACACACAAACCGCCCCCCCAGCTTCCAAGAGTAATTCCTGAGAGCAAAGCCAGGAGCAAGCCTTAAGTACAGCTGGGTGTGCTCCCCATCCCCCTCCACATATAATGGAAGGTTTTACTCACTCGACGACCACGGCGAGTGAACTCCTGGGGCAACGTGGCCCTCGCCCAACGGCGACTGAAAAAGAGCCGAAGACTTCCAAACATTCTTTGCACCACGTTTCCCCGACGACGACGGTGGCCTGAAATCTGCCTGTTCTCTTCTTCCACCTGCATAGCAGCGATTAGTTCCAGATGCTTGCGTCGGGTGAGCTCATTCACCAACACCTCTTTCAGCGAGACGCCAAACGTCTTGAGTGAAAGGCCTGGGGAGCCAAAGATAGAAAGTATAAGAAAGGCAAAGCTGTGCAGCGCTGACATCAGGAGGAACTGCAGGGCCTGTAACACGCTAAGCCACAGCTCAGTCAGCCCTACCCGCTACAGAGAGGCAGTGTCCCTCCCCCAGGGCTTGAGTCCAAAAGACCCTGTCAGATTTTGGCAGGACTCAAGTGCACTCAACTACTTAGAGAGATCCTCGGGTGTTTAATTTCTATCAGGGGTGACCTCCTTTAAAGTTCATTTTTAAGTGAGAGCACCCAACCACCCAAGAAGTTCATGCAGATCTGATGGAACTGTCCTCACACTTGCCAGCAGCAAGTTCGACATTTCCTGAAATCATCCCTTAAGATGTTTTGGAGGGTGAGAGGGCAAGTATGCCCGAGACACTGGGCACCACCCAATTTCCAAGAGTCAGGGACGCCTTATAGAAGGGATCCATCATTCCTTTTCTTCCCTAAAGAAAGTATGAGAACCCCTCACCTCTCTCTTGTCCTCTTAGAAGCTGAATCCACTTCTCCAAAGTGTTTGGACGGTCAACGGGCAAAGCTTTGGAAAGAGAAAAAGAATACATGCATTCACCCACACAGGATTTGATAAGTGACTAAAGTATGGCAGTAAATAAATCTGCAGGGGTGGAGGAGTGTAGAGGCGAGCAACTCATTTCAGCCCAGGGAGAGTGTTTGCTTTCGCCCAGTCTCGGTTTCCCCGTTTGGAGAAGTCACTGATCCTCTCATCTCCACCTCTAACCAAACACAGAACCAGGCAACCTAAGACTCCGAGTGCACACCGTGCCTCTTGCTTTGGAGCAGTAAAAGCTCAATCCGAGACTTAAGACAAACATTTTGGGGGCTCTTTGGTACCCGAACTCTGCAACAGGCGAGAGGGGGAGTTCTGCCTACTGTGCTGCTGTGAGTTGGGGGTCGCCAAGTTACTGCGTGCGCGCGCGCGCGCACTGGGTCTGCCGTCGGCTCCCGGCGCTGCTGCGGGAGAAGACGCGACACCGCAGTCCCTGCGTTCCGACCCCCCACAGCCTCCGTCTTTCTCTTTGGCGTCCGCTGTGCGGATTTAAAACATCCCCCTATCCCAGCTATTTGCATTCACTGCTTTAGAGGCAACCCTTGGCTTGCGCGACCCCCTCCTACTCCCCCGCTCTCCTTTCCGCAAGCCAATTTTATCAACGACGCACCCCGGAGACCTCTCCTGGACAGACTCCACCAGGCTTCAGAGCGGGGTCCCGCTGGCTTCCCTGCAGACAGCCCAGGTGGGCACAGCACACCGCGCACCTCCCCTAGCCGCCCCAGGAGCCCACACCGACCTTCCCCCTCACCACCGGGATTTGGCGCGTGTCTCCTCTCTCAAACCAGCTGGTTAGTTCCTCTGTTCCCATCCTCTATCAGAATGTCCCTCTGCTCCACCTAAGTGGTTCTCTCGCACCTCACCGGACGGACGCATCTTCACCTGTCCTCTGTCCACTTGTCTGTCCCCGACCATCTGCTTGTTTTCGTTCTGCCCCTCAAACACCCCCTCCCCCAAATATTCGATTCAATACAACTAACTAATCTTTTACTTCTTCCACGATTCAACTTGCTCAATTGCTCAGGCTCCTGGAGTACCCGATCAAGTCCTAGACTAGGCATGAGCCCCACCCACTCTTCTGGACCCCCAACTTTTCCCGTCCAGCCTCGGGGGTCCACTCGCCCGAAAGCGAGGACTCCACACCCGGGGCACTCCTCACCTCTCTCAGGTCTGAATTCGGAGAGGAAACGTCTGGCCACGAGTTCTTGGTAAGCTGTCTCTTGCAGTTTCAGGCGCTCCAGCTCCGAGAGACTGTGTATTGATACCATCATCGCCCCGCCGTCTGGATTCTGTCCCGGGGCTCCTCCCAGGACATTTACTAAAAACATGAAGGCAGAAAATAAGATCAAAAAGAGCATGAATATGGTCCATAATGCACTTTTTACTATCCAAAAAGGGGAGTGATTCCCCATTCTGGACCCGGGTGAGAATCAGGACTGCAGGGTGAGAAGACTGAATTGTCTCTGGACCTAGTGGAGGGAACTCTGAGGGGAGGGTGATAAAGAGGGAGGGAAACTGGGAGGTGGCTTCACCCTCTAGCAGAGCTGCCTCTGGTTGCTCCTTAAAAAGAAAAAAAAATCCAACTTAAAAAAAAAGTCCAGCCCAGAACCTATAGTCCAGGAATGAAAAAAAAAAAAAACAAATCTGGAAGAAAAGAAAGAAGGCAAAGAAAACGGCGAGGGAAAAGTAGGCAACTACATTTTTGTCACAAGTTAAAATGAATATTGAGACAAAAATAAGGTATTATTTTTCCATGACTTAATTAGAGAATTTGTGGGTCTTATATTTATTTTTAATGATAAAGCTCACTGCCCAAGTTAGGTAAAAATGTGCACTTTCCTCATTAGTTAAGTTAGGTCAGTAACACTGTAAATTTGTACAACTCTTCCAGAGAGGAACTGGCTAAAAAATGTTCCTCTGGTCTTTTTACCCAGGATTTCGCCTCCCAGAAATCTATCCTAATGAAATCATCCTACAGACAAACACATCTACATGCCATACAGTCAAAAATTAAAGGGGAAAAAACTAGTCCAGCAATGAGACTAGTTATACCTATTATGGAATAGTCACTGTATTGAAGAGCAGTTAATCAAGTGATGTTTATAAAGAGTTTTTAAGCAACAAATACAATGGGAACATGTATTTTTAAAACTGAAAGAAAAGCACCCAGATATCAAACAGATCTGCATTGTGTTTTTCTTTCACTCTACTACCAGAAGTTTCACAACTTGATTGTATTATTTTTCAGGAGAAAACATCATATTGTACCAAAACAAGAATCATTCCTAGGCCATTTCCTGTAAGACTTCCAATGTAAAAATTGATGGTCAGCGTGAAAATTAACTTATTGTACTGGCAAAACTGTTTTATGTGTCCCTTCTTCCATGGTGCTTAATAACTAATACAGCTGCCAGACCACACATAAATCCACAGTGGAAATCTCCCTGAACTACATCTAGCACTCTTTACTGCACATCCTAACACCTATTATTCTTTTCTTCTCTCATTCATTCATTCATTTAAAAAAAAAGATAGATCTGTTCAAATTGCCCTTTTTGTGCCAAGAAATAAAAAAATTCAAGTATGAGCAAAATAACAGTAGTCTTTTCATAAAATATTTAACAATGCAGTGGAGGTTAGCAACAATTTAGAAAACCTTGTGATAAGTCAATCGGCCAAGATATAAACAAAGTACAGTGAGAGGAGAAAGGATGAAACATCTAAGTCTGCCTAGAGATAGTGAAGTTGGGGGTGGAGGGAACTCACAGAAAGAGAACAGCTTGTGCAAAGACAAAGAGAGGGTGTTATATTCTTAAAGCTGTATAAAGGGAATGGAAGGAGATCAAGCTGGATAGGCATGGATGAGATCATGAATGGCCCTGTAAGCCGTGTTAAGAAGCCAGACTTTCTTCTGAAGGCAAAAGGAACTACTGCAGGGTTTTAAGCAGGGAATGACAGAATCAAAGCTGCAGCTTGCAAAAATCACGGAGAACAGTGAAAAGCCTGTTTTGGGTAGAGAGCCTAAAGGAGGTAGATTGTCTAAGAGGCAAGAGAAGCTTACATGATTCAGTGTTACTTGGGCTGGATATGGAGAATATTTTGGAGTAGAACCAAGAGAATTCAGGGGGAAATTATTTTTTGTAGTAGGAAGGAAAGAACTTAAGATAGTTTCAAAATTTATGATTTGGATGACTTCGTAAAAACTGATTCCTCACAGGGAAAATTATTTGGGACACAGAGTATTCAAAAAGAAGGAAAGTGGTCACATGCCACTTTTCTGAGTTCTTTCTCCTATAGTCTTAAAAAATAATCTGTGTATCTTGAAAGGGATGCTTAAGTCCCAAAAATCAGATAATGTGACTGTAAGAGTGAGAATAGGTGGAAATTTATCATTCAATACTCTGTGTAAATGAGCTTTCCCCCAAAATCCACCCCCGTTTTTCTTCCAAATTTATACTTTTCTCAATTTCTTTAATGGCCACAGTCACACATGAGTAAATAAGCATAAAGTCAACACAAACATAAATGTTTGACAGATAACTGAAGTGCAGTATAAGAAAGAATGAGGAATCTTTCTTGAAAATATTTGACATGGATTTTATAAAACTCTTTAAACTGCAAAACATCATCCCCTGAAACAGTAGTGAATGCCTAAGCCCACCCACCAAATCACATACACAAACTGAACATTTTAACCAAAGGTTAAAATGTTAACCAAAGGTTAACCAAAACCCAACACCAAACCATAGTTCTAACTAAGGCTCTACCAACCCATCATTTCAGGAAATCAGTCCAAAACCTATTGGCTTAGGGTTTCATCCTGATACACACAATATTGTTCTGGCCTAATTTTTCAAACATTTATCCCCACATCCCTTTACCTGAATTCACACATCTTGAAAACCAGTCTTAGAATTGTAATTATTTTGTCTAATTGAGTTACCTCATCTGATTAACCAAAGATATACCTGGTTCTTCTGGTTCCTTCAAGCAAAGATCAAGATGAAAATCAATCCTCCACCCTCCAATAAGATAAGGTAATAACAAGAAAACCTCAAAACTGCAGCAAAAAAAGAGAAAAGCCTTTGAGAAATGAGTCAGCCTAGATGCTTAGAATTTAGAAGAAATCAAAGTCTTTAGAATAAATCATTTGTCGTTACCTCCTGCTTAGAGATACAGTGCTAAAGTTAAGAGTAATCATATGCTTCAGTTCTGCCAATAAAATTGACATTGTCTTACTTGTTTTCAACCCTCTAAAGGCACCAGTAAAATATACAACAGAGGAAGGCCAGTGTGCCAGGACAAGAAACAGGTAGGCAGAGTGAGGAGGGGGCATAAATTGGCAGTCTCAGCACTACTAATGAAATATATAACAAGTTATTGAGAGAGTTAATATCTCAACCTGACTACAATAAGAGGCTCTTCACAGAACAATGTACAAAGATACCTCTAGCTTCCATGTTTCTTCTCCCTCTCCCCTCCCCATTGCAGCATGCCAGTGTTGCCTCGAAGTGACCATTGCCATTATAATGATACCCAAGAAGGAATCTGAAAGCAAGACCTTTGAGTTTCAGTCTAGAATACTGTACAGTTGCAAACACAATATCCTTTGACATGTATCTGTAGTAATCATTGCATTTAAAGAGGGTAGAACTGAATTTCAAATCATGCATTATGATTTCTTAGCTGTGTGACTCTAAGAAAGTCAGTTAACTGATCTGAACTTGGTGACAACCTCTATAAAATGGAAAATTACATGGTGCCCATTTCATTGTGTGGGAATTAAATGAATAATGCATATGTGACAATTAGCTTTGACTTTTTAAACATAAACATGTTGGGATCCCAAGCAACAGTAAAGTGTATAGAGCATTTGCCTTGCATGTGTTTGACCTGAGTTCAATCTCTGGCACATATGATTCACCAAGAACTGCCAGGAGTGACCCCTGAGTCCAGAGTCAGAAGTAAGCCCTGAGCACTGCCAGGCATGGTCCAAAAATGAAACCAAAAACAAATCCAAAGTAGCATGTTTATTTAAATGTTCTTTGCAAAAGATCTGAGTTTACCAGCAAATACTAGACTTCAAAAGTAATTACATAAGATTAGATATTATAAGCCTGAAGATATAATCTAGTGGGTGGGTTACTTACCTTGTACATGGCTAACCTGGATTTGGTACACAGTTTTCATGTGATCACCTGAGCACCACCAGGAGTGATCCTTGAGTGCAGAGGCAGGAGTAAGCCCTGAACACAGCCATGAATGATACATAAACTGTGTTTGTGTGTGTGTGTGTGTGTGTAATTTATATCAACACATCTCAAAACTATTCATTCAGTGTCAACTAAATAATTTTATTTTATTTGGGGGATTGGGGCCACACCCAGTGGTGTTCAAGATTTACTCCTGGCTCTGCGCTCAGGGATCATTCCTGGTAGCCTCCAGGAACCATATGGAGTGCCAGGGATCAAACCTGGGTTGGCCTCATTCAAGGCAAGTGCTCAACTATGCTATCATTCAAATTAATGAAATGCCTATATATCTCAAAATGACTCCTTTCAAGACATGCAATTTTACATTGTAATTAAGAAAAAGTATAATTTCACTATATCAATAAGAGGACTAGTATATGAACTTATATCAAGAGAAATTTTTTTAAAAAATAGCAGAGGGACCCCAAAAATCAACTTTCCAGCAACCCAGAAAGAGGAAATACTCATCAATAGCATCAAGCTTGTTGCTCATGTCCTCTCTCAATGCACAGCACAGATAGAGTAACAAATTAACATTAGAAAGGTCACCTACTCAAACCTTGTGAGGATAGAAATGCTTTCAACTAAGTAATAAATCCTTAGCCTTCACAAGTTGGAGGACTTATTTTTTTTCTATCATCACCATCAAACAGGGATGAATAACACAGTGTTTACAAGTAAACACCTATGAGGGAAAAAAAGTGGGATTTTAATGGCACCATCATTTGAATCTTTCTAAAGTTGGGACTTTATAGCACCATCCAAATTTTGTTCTAATTTTCTCAAGATCTCCCCATTGTTTAAGAAATGCATAGTGGATAAGACTTGGCACCCAGAAAGCATAGCATCTATGTCATTCTAATGTCTACAGGTATTGACAATAGACAAAGGCATCCGCATTTATATATCACAACATGGGGAAAAACAAGCCTCTAGATAAAAACACTTGGACACCAATTTGGTGTGCTGGCACATTGCCTCATTCATTGCTGAGCACTAATGAGTTAGCCTTTAAGTTGTTATCCTATAACCTCCATTTCACAAAGTCTGCAGCAGCAGTGAAGTA